ATTCCCTGCTCTGTCCCATTCCCGGTTATGTCCCATTCCCTGCTCTCTCCCATCCCAGCTCTCTCCCATTCCCTGCTCTGTCCCATTCCCGCTCTGTCCCATCCCAGCTCTGTCCCATCCCAGCTCTCTCCCATTCCCAGCTCTGTCCCATTCATTCCCAGCTCTGTCCCATTCCTGTTCTCTCCCATTCCCGCTCTGTCCCCATCCCGGGGTCGCGCGCGCTATTCCGGGGTTCGCGTCACGGTGACGCGCGCGGGGGGGCGGGGGCGGCACCGCCCTCTATGCAAATGAGGCCACGCCCCCGGCCCGCGCGTGGCCGGGGCGCGTCCCTCCGCGTGACGTCACCGGTCGGAAACTTACCAAAAGGGCGCGCTGCCGCCGCCGCTCCGCCCGCCCGCTCTTGGATGCGCGCCCCGCGCCGCGCTCCGCTCCCCGGTGAGTGCCCGGCCCGGCCCGCCTCCCGCGCGCCCCTCCCGGCGCGGGGTCCCGCGCGCGAGGCGCGGGATGCGCCCCCGTCCCGTGCCGTGCCGTGCCGTGCCGTGCCGAAAAACCTGCCGGCGGGTCCCGCTCGGGTCCCCGCACGGGACGGGCGGCGCTGCCCGAGGCGCGTGTCACCCGCGGAGCTGCCGCCCGGGCTGGCTGTCACCCGCGCCCCGCTCCGGTGCCGCGCCCGAGCCCCGCGCCTCGCCCGCCCGCTCTCCCGAGGGACGCGCCGCGGCTCTGCCAGGAGGCACTGCCCTGCCAGAAGGGAGCCTGGCAGCCGGTGCCGGTGACAGCCCGCCCGCGGGGAGCCTCCCGCCCGCTTACCGAGAGAGCAGCCCCAGCCGAGCCCAAAACGCTCCTCCAGGGCGGGGGGCGGCCCTGCTCCCCGCCGCTCCCGCAGCCCGTGGCTCCGCAGCGGGGCTCCCCCAGAGCCGGGCAGCCGCGCCGGCGGCTCCGCGTGTCTGTCCCCGCTCAGGCGCTCCGTCTGTCTGTCCTTCCACCGGCGCGTCCGTGTGTCAGTTCCCCGCCGGGGCTGCCTGACCGGCGGGTCCGTGCGCCTGTTCCCCGCCCCGGGTCCGTGTGTCTGTCCCCGCACCAGCGGGTTTGTGTGTCAGTCCCACGCCCCTACTGCCCGATCGGCGGGTCCGTGTGTCGCTGTGTCCGTCCGCTCGCCGGCTGCTCCGTGTGTCGGTCCGTGTGTCCGTCCGCTCGCCGGCGGGTCCGCGTGTCGGTCCGTGTGTCCGTCCGCTCGCCGGCCTCTCCGTGTGTCGCTGTGTCCGTCCGCTCACCGGCTGCTCCGTGTGTCGGTCCGTGTGTCCGTCCGCTCGCCGGCCGCTCCGTGTGTCGGTCCGTGTGTCCGTCCGCTCGCCGGCGGGTCCGTGTATCGGTCCATGTGTCCGTCCGTTCACCGGCCGCTCCGTGTGTCGGTCCGTGTGTCCGTCCGCTCACCGGCCGCTCCGTGTGTCGGTCCGTGTGTCCGTCCGCTCACCGGCCGCTCCGTGTGTCGGTCCGTGTGTCCGTCCGCTCACCGGCCGCTCCGTGTGTCTGTCGCAGCCGTCGCGCCGGGCAGGCTGGAGCCGCCGCCGCGCTCTGACCCCGCGGACTCCTCGCTCCCCGCCGCGCTCCGACGCTGTCCGCCCTCGGCTGCCCCGAGCACGCCGCTCCCCCGGCTGAAGGTTGGTGCGCTCCGTCCCCGCGGCCCCGGCAGCCCCGGCGGGGCAGGGGGCTCCCGGCGCTCGGCCCCGGCGGCGGGCGCGGGGCGCGGGCCGAGTCTACCTGCCGCTGTTTCGTTTGCAGCCATGCCCTGTGTTCAGGCTCAGTATGGGTCCTCGCCTCAAGGAGCCAGCCCGGCCTCCCAGAGCTACAGCTACCACTCCTCGGGAGAATACAGCTCCGATTTCCTAACTCCGGAGTTTGTCAAGTTTAGCATGGACCTCACCAACACCGAAATCACCGCCACCACTTCTCTCCCCAGCTTCAGTACCTTTATGGACAACTACAACACGAGCTACGACGTGAAGCCCCCCTGCTTGTACCAAATGCCCCTGTCCGGACAGCAGTCCTCCATTAAGGTGGAAGACATTCAGATGCACGGCTACCAGCAGCACGGCCACCTGCCCCCCCAGTCCGAGGAGATGATGTCCCACTCGGGCTCCGTCTACTACAAGCCCTCGTCGCCCCCGACCCCCTCCACGCCCGGCTTCCAGGTGCAGCACGGCCCCGTGTGGGACGACCCCGGCTCCCTGGGGGGCGGCGGGGGAGCCCGCGGGGCCGGCAGCCCGCAGATGGAAATGGGTTAGGACAGAGAACTGCGTCTGAGCTAACCATGTGGAACAGAATTCCCTGTGGTAAAATTAAGTGATCTCTTTATTTCACCATCCTGATTGAATAATCTTATCATTTTAAATAGAGGAGGTCTCCAAGGAATGTAAATAATATGAATGCCCACGGATTTGTATTTACCGAGCGTCTCTTTCCCTCCTCTTGGCATATAAAACACGGCTAGGAGCTGCGAGGTTAGCTTGGATGTTAACGCTGTCAATTTTCTCCTGTTAAACGCCTTGGGGAAAAAAAAAAAAAAAAAAAAAAAAAAAAAGGGAAGGGGGGGGGGAAGGAAAAGGAAATAAAAGGGAAACTAAATAAAGAGGGAAAGGAAATAAAAATAAAGAGGAAAAAGGGGAAAGGACATTTAAATAAAGAGGGAAAGGGGGAAAGGAAATAAAGGGAAAAGAAAATGAATCTTAAAAGGCAGAAGAAGAAAAGGGAAAAAGGAAATAACAAAGGAAAAATTTTAAAGGGAGAAGATAATAAAGGAAAAAAAGGGGAAGGGATATAAAGGTTAAAAAAAAGGAGAAGTAAAGATAAAAAAAGGAAAATAAAGGGGAATAAAATGAAAGCGGGAACAGAAAACGAAGGGGAAAGCGAAGGAAACAAAGCGAAAAAACGGAAAGGAAAATAAAGGGGGGGAAAGGCAACAGCAGACCAAGGGGAAGGCGGCAGGGGCAGGGGCGGCAGGGGCGCTCCCCGGGCGGGCGCTGACCCGCTGCCGCCCCCGGCCCGCAGCGCACGGTGCAGAAGAACGCCAAGTACGTGTGTCTGGCCAACAAGAACTGCCCCGTGGACAAGCGCCGCCGCAACCGCTGCCAGTACTGCCGCTTCCAGAAGTGCCTGGCCGTCGGCATGGTCAAGGAGGGTGAGTGTCCGTGTGTCCGTGCGTCCCCGTGTCCGGGGGCGCGGCGGGCCGCGCCGGGCTGACCCCTGTCTCTTGCAGTGGTGCGCACAGACAGCCTAAAAGGCCGGCGGGGCCGCTTGCCGTCCAAACCGAAGAGCCCCCAGGAGCCTTCTCCCCCCTCTCCCCCGGTGAGTCTGATCAGTGCGCTGGTGAGAGCCCATGTCGACTCCAACCCGGCTATGACCAGCCTGGACTATTCCCGGGTAAGCGGCACCGAGCTCGCGGAGGGACCCCGCCGCCGCCGCCCGGGGAGGGGGGGCCGCCGGCCCCGCGGCCGCTGCGGGGGGACACGCCGGGCCGCCGGGGCTCGGCTCGGCTCGGCCCGGCCCGGCCGCACGCACTCTCGGTACCGCGCTGCCCACCGCACCCGCACGCAGCTGCGGGGGTTTCCTCCCTCTTCCCCCGCACGTGATGTTTGGAAGGTCTGGCACGGATGGGTGCGGGTTAGGGCTTCGCGTGGAAAGCCGGGGGTTACGGGAGTCCCGTGTTAATGACATGGTATTAGAACCGCCAGTCCGACACCCCCGGGACGAAAAAAACACGCGGAACCGCGGCGGGGCCGGGCTGGGCAGCGCGCAAGTTGCGCTGGCTCGGGAGCCAGAGGGGACGAGGCCCTGAATTAGCGTCGAAAAGAGAAAAACTAAAGCAA